TTTAAAGTTACTTTTTCGCTGTAATAACTAATAATTTATTAACTTTTTTGACTTTTATCGTTAATAGACGTTACAAGTCTTTTATCGTTAATACACGTTACAAACTATTTGTTATCAACGATTTTATTTTGGTATTAACAATTAATTAATCAATTTATTAACTTTTTTAAGTTACGAATACAATCTAACAAAAGTACGTCGTTTGTTTAAGTAGTAGCTAATAATTTATTATCTTTTTTTACTTTTATCGTTAATATACGTTGTAAAATATTTGTTATTAACAATAAATGTAGTAATTTATTAACTTTTTGCTAATTATAGATGCATTTTCATGCAAATATGTTATATATACTAGTAATAACCAATAATTTATTAATTTTTTCACTTGTATTATAAATTTACGTTGTGACCAATTTGTTATTAAAAATAAGTGCAATAATTTTTACATTTTTGCAAATTATAGATTCATTTATATATTCGTATGATATTTTTCAAGTGATAACCAATGATTTATTAATTCTTTTACTTTTATTATAAATTTACTCTATGAACAATTTGTTATTAATAAGAAATTGGATTATTTATACATTTTTATGAACTATAACTGTATTTGAATGATGTCATTGCTAAGAATTCCGTCCACTTACCTCTCGCAGCCAGAAAAATCGTCAAATGTTTAACTGAAACATCGAAAATTTACAAAAGATAGGAAATATCTTAAACTTTGTGCGTAGCTCTTAGCTTGGTATCGTTTTCCAAAAATTATTCTTTGGAAAACGATACCAATTACCAGGTCTTCATTCGAAAGACCGACTAGCCTACGAGACGTACTCTCGTGCACAAGACAACTTCATGTCACGGCACCCTCCCGATCGAACCTAGTCCACCCAGCCACCACAGACCTCGCCATGACTTACTCACGAACGAGAAAGATCGACGAACAAGCGAAACATCCAAAATCAAGCCGAGGGTCCCTAGCGAGGCCCTATAGCCGGTCACGCAGGCCCCTAACACATGGGGGAGAAATTAATTATCCCATGGGGTCTGACCGTAGGCCCATATGCAATGTCCGGCTACAGGACCCATACTCCGGTCGTGCACGCGCTGGTGCTCAGGACGACTAAGGCCGACAGACCCTCGGATTGACCCAGATGAGTGCCAGCCCGCCGACCACCCTAGAACCGATGCGTGACAAGGGTGGCAGTGGCGAGAGTGTGTTGGAACGAATCGTTTGGATGACTTACGAAACATGGAGTTATCGAGTACGCAAGAGTACGTCACGTAGGCTAGTCGGTACTTAAGAACGATCGCGATTATCACGAGAACAATTATGTTCTATTTGGTAAACGAGGAGGGATGAGGGAGAGAAAATATGAAATGTATATATTCGCTCCAAGTTAGGTGGCTTACCTTTGTACAGATAGCGCGCGCATGAAACTTAGCTTAGGAATCTATCTTATAACTGCTTATAACTATTTAGGTCTAAACGCACGCATCCCACGTTGTCCAATGATGTCTTATAAATCTTGCAAGTCTTGAAAACCTCTAACAGAAAGATATATAAACCTGAAAAGTAAAGGATTACTAACAACATAAAAAATAAAAGCGAAACTAATATAAACCACAAAGATATATCAAATGAAAAGAACTACCTAACAATGAGATACGAACAACCCAACGATAAGACATAAACAACCAAACAATGAGACATTCGAATATTATATGAAATATTCGAATTGTCTAATAAAAATGAATAGAAATGGAAAAATGAAATCTGAAAGTCAAAAGAAATAATTAATTTCTGAAAAAGGAATAAATAATTAAATTCTGAAAGAAAAAAGTAATTAATATCTGAAAATAAAAAGAATGATTAGTAAATTGTTTAATGAGATGGGGTGTGGCTGGGGTGGCTAGCCCCAACCACATTTCGGAACCCTCACCCCTTCCGCGCACTTAGAAGTCTAGATGTTTCGCTTCCAAAGTTGAACCGACAAATAGTGGAAGCAGCGGAGCGTCGCCCCTTATATAGCCGCTGATGGGTCGAAGATCAACGAAAATTTCCGAAATTTTCCGATTCCATTTATTATTATTTTTCCGCTATAAAAGCCAATAATTTTTTCATTCTAATGATAAATATACGTTGTGGCCAATTTGTTATTAATAATATTAATTTGATATTAATAATTGGTGTAATAATTTATAAACTTTTTGCAAATTGAATGGGGTACATTTTAACGTAATTACGTTATAAATTCAAGTAATTGCTAATAATTTATTAACTTTTTCACTTTTATTATAAATATACGTTGTGAACAATGTGTTGTTAATAATATTAATTTGTTATTAACAATACGTGTCATTATTTCTAAATTTTTTGTAAGTTATAGGTATATCTTAACTCAAGTACATTATAAATTAAAGTAATAACCAGCAATTTGGTAATTTTTTCACTTTTATCATATATTTACGTTGTGAACAATTTGTTATTAATAATAAATTTGACAATTCATACTTTCAAAGTACATTCGTACTTTCATGGATAAAGTGAAAATGGGGAAAGATCTTCATTGTGTACGTTTGAGTTAACCTTAAAAATAAATACTATTTGATTACGATGAAATCAATAATTGTTTAATTCAGTATCTAGATCTACTAACAAAAAGCAATAAAATGTATACATTCATAAAGAGCCAGCTTCGTTACAAAATATATAAAACATGTCATCGATTTGTACATACCGAAACAAACTTAAAGAAAAAGATAAAGTGGTTAATACCTGTAGGATATGAAACAAACATTAAAATCTATAATCCCATAACAAAGTGCAATGTGCCATTAATTTTAAAAAATAAAAATATTTTAACTTGGTATGTTTGTGGCCCTACTGCATATAATTCAGCACATATAGGACATGCAATGTAAGTTTTTTTCTCTTGGTTATTATTTTTACATTTTAAATATTACTAATCATTGCGCATACAGCTGCAAAAACTTTTATAACATAAAAATAAATTATTCATAAAACACTTTTCATTTAACTATTACAATTACATGTTTATTAAGACAAAATAAGATTTACAAATAAAATATACATTTTGCTATTTTTACAGAACAACAAAAGAACTTTTTTGTAATCTTACTTTACAGGTCTTACATGAATTTGGACATTATTCGAAGAATATTATCAGACTATTTTAATATAAATATTGTAATGGCCATGTGTATAACAGATATAGATGATAAAATAATAAAACGCTCAAAAGAATTAAAACAAAACTATAAAGATATAACGAAACATTATGAAAATGAATTTATTGAAGATATGCAAATGTTAAATATTGCCAAGCCTCACTTATATTGTAGAGTTACTGATTATATATCACAAATTATTCAATTTGTGCAAGGCATTATAGATAATGGCAATGCATATATTTCAAAAGATGGTAAAATATAACAATTCAACTATTACTTCCTATCAAGCTTCAATTGAGAATTTAACAGTAAGTTTCAATCTTTTTATAGAATCAGTTTATTTTGATACACATAAATATGCAATGTATGGCAAATTAATGCCACCAGTATCAGATAGTAATCATCCTGATAAGAAATCATCACTGGATTTTTGTCTTTGGAAGAAAGCTAAAGAAGGTGAACCATTTTGGAAATCTCCATGGGGTCCTGGAAGGCCAGGATGGCATATAGAATGTAGCACAATTGCAAGGTAATATCTCACATTATGGAAAAAAGAACACTGTTGTTAAAATACAAAGGTAATATTTTTATTTTATGCCATATCATGTATGATATAAATATAAAAATTATATTTTTATTAGCACAGTTTTTGGAAATTCTGTTGACATTCACAGCGGTGGTAAAGATCTTATATTTCCACATCATGAGAATGAAGAAGCACAATCGTGTTCTTACCATGGAGTAGAACAATGGGTAAATTATTGGATGCATTGTGGGCATTTATCCTTAGAGGATGTAAAAATGTCAAAAAGTCTTGGTAATACTATCAGTATAAGAGAATTCCTTGAAAAATACACAGCAAATCACATTAGAATTCTTTGCCTGCTTTCTAATTATAAATATGGTAAAAGTTTTGAATAATTTATTTATGAGATATTAAGTAATTTTATATCAAATGTAAATTTTAATAATCACTGTTATGCATTTTTCAGACCTGAAATTTTCTGATATTGTAATGAATAATGCAGTACGTATATTGAATAAAATTCAACAATTTATTTATAGTTGTGAAAACTACATTATTGGAAACTGGGATATTGCTAATATAGATGAAGTTGCACTGCTCCGTGTTAGTTACTTTGTTCTATTTCATTATTTTATATGTATGTATATAATATAAATATATAGTATACAAATAAAATTATGTTTTAGTGTCTAGAAGAAACGAAAAGCGATGTTTATACTGCATTAGCAGATGATTTTAATACTGCAAAAGCTATGAAGTCATTGTTAAATCTAATTGATGTAGGGAATAATATGTTACACAAGGTAAATATTAACTTAATAATCAATCGATTCGTTGCTAATAATTATAATAATGATAAATACAAAATACTCTTGTATTAAAAACAGCATAATAAAAACACTCATGGTTCTTGTATACCTGCTATAATTGCAGTATCAAATTATATATCAACAACATTTTCAAAATTTGGAATTTTTAATCCTACAACAACAGATGATCAGAGAGTGAACAATCTCGTTGAATATTTTGTAAAATTTAGACATACTGTTCGTCGCAGAACCTTAGAATCAGATGTTAAAGATAAAATTTTACTTGAGGCATGCGACGAAGCACGATCAGACCTTTCTGCTTGTGGAGTAACAGTAAAGGTATCATGTTTAATTAATATGAGTTTTAAACTTTATATATATTCTGACTGTATTTTCAGGATCATAAAATGCGAAGTATTTGGAGTATCAAGAAATATTAAATCAAAATCAACAAACAGTTTTTTTTATTGTAGCGTTTTGTAGCTCATTGTAGCTTAAAATAATTATTTTTGTATTCATTTTCATACTGATTTTAAAGAAATAATTTTTTTAAACTAATATTAGTCAGTTGTATCACTTCCAGCTTTTGATCTTTTGGTGTTATTATTGTTTTCAATATTCTTCCTTTTTATTCCAGCCTTTTTTTCTGCAATTGTCTTTTTTAAACCTTTCATCTTTCTTGTCTGTATATTATTAATATTCTGTGCTCCAATATGAATACGACCAAAAGTTGTTCCAAGATTGTCCATAGATATATTCTTTTTCTTCTTAACCTGTAATTATATATTGAATAAATAAATGTATAATCATTTTCATAATAAAAAGTATTACCTTAAGCTGCTTTGGCTTTTTGCAAGCTTGTTTAAACAGATCATCAGAAGCAAGTTTTGTACGTCTACAAATTAAGTCTGCTCTTGGACCTATTTCATCTAATTCAATTCTTGGTATTTTACAATCGGATTTTTTTAAAAGTATCCTAAAATATAGTTTTATTAATTAACTTTTATATTTATTTTGTATAAGAATTATTTACCTATGGAGATTCATAAAAAGAATTTATACCTATAACTACGTAAAAGAATTTTGTTCTCAACAGCTGTGAAACTTAACACATGCTCAAGGCCCTGTAATCTAATCTTTTCAGCTTGGTCTCTTTGAAACATATCTACTAACAAATTTTGAATTCTATTAAATTCATGGTTATTTTCAAAAAGTTCTCCATTGAAAACCAATAAAGGTTTTATGCCTTTTGAAATTTTTTGGACTTTGAAACTTTTCAGACCTTTATAATTTTCTATACCAAATTCTACCATGTCTAGTAATGTATGTTCATATAGTCTTCCCATTACTAAATTATGAGGGCGTTTTTTGTTATGTAAGGCAATCATAAAAAGAGAAGCATTATATTTTGCAGAAAGCTTTTCAATATGCGTAACATCTTCAAATGGTAATATATCATTTTTTTGTTGCATCATATGTGCATCTGGTTTTTTTAAATCATACTAAAATCAAATATTAGTTGCATCAAATATATGTATAAAATAATTTGTTATTATGATTTCACAATTAAACTTACCAAATCTTTCATAAAATCTATTACTATCTGAGATGTATTTTTACCTTTAAAACACAATGTTTGTTTAGTATCTTCTATTAATTTTGATTCCTTTTTTAAAAGAGCTCGTTTACCTCTCTGGGTAGTCGGTTTTCTGCAATAAAAATTGTATTGGCATTTTAAAGATAGGAAATATATATTTATACGATCAAAAATTTATTTTCAATAAATATTGATAGAAAAAAATAAAAATAGATAAATTTTACTATGTGTAAAATCCAATAATGAATTGTAAACATATACATATAATCATTGCAATCAAATATAACCAAAATATATATATCATTTCACATACAAATTAAAGGTACTTACACTACTCTGTTTATTACAGTCATAGTGATAATTAATTTTAAACACAATTCTTTTTTAAAATTTTTAAAATGTTCAAAGAATTCTTTATTTGGAATATGTCATCATACAACACGTGTTTTTACAATCCAGAATCGTTTACTACGAAGAGACATTTTAACGCGCATGTTCATACATAGTATGGTCAGTTGTATCACGTAGAGGTCTAAAAGTTACAGTTATGTAGTTTCTAACCTCTAATAAAATAATAAACAATTTTTCAAAAGTTATTTATTTTCACATAAATATGTTATAAAATACCTATGAAGATATACACAATTAGTATAAATAATAACTTTCTTATATATCGATTATATCGATTTAAAATTAAAATACATTCACATTCACATTCGTAAATACTATAAATTCATTATTTACTTTTATTTATTATTATTTTTGATTGAGTTGTTTATTTCCGACAGATTTTTGTTCTTTCTCTTTCATTAGTCTTTTGTATTCTGCTTGTTTTTCCATTTGTTTTCGTTTCCGTTCCATGCGTAAAAAATTTTCCTCGGTTAATACTAAAAGTTAATTATATTTCATTTAACATTAACTTTCAAACGAATAAATTTTTAATTAATTCACCTTGTTTTTTATTTTGGTCTGTTTGATTTTTATCATGTTCTTTGCAATGATTTATACTATTGAGCTGTAAATGATTTTTTGTATCAGTTGATTTGGGTGATACAGATTGCTCTTTTTGTGCACTAGGACTCTTTGACTTCGTTATTATTTCTGATATAGATATTTGCTCCTTTTGGTCAACTGGACTTCTAGGTTGCAATATACTGTCTAAAAAAAACAATAATACAATATACTGAATGAAATCCAATTCATAAATACTATACAGTTACAAAAACCTGTCTTTTGTTTCTCTTCATCACTTTTACAAGTAATAAATGGAACTGATTGAGCACATGGTTCTAATATCTCAGTTGGAACGTTAAGTAATGAAGAACCTTTCTTTTGATTATTGGACACATGTGAATTTAATAACTTCTTTGATAGTTTTTGAATTTCAGTTCCTATTTCATTTCCAAAACATGATAATACCTTTTTAAAAGCATCTGTAAGAGAACCCTATATAAAATAATACAAAAAATGCTGCTGTAATACATATAAATATAAAATACTTAAATATTAAACATACAATCCTTGCACAATGTATTGATAAACCTTTCATATTTGCTTCTGTATAACAATATCCCATATCTTCATGAAATGTTCCATTTTGTAATTGAATCTTAACAAATGTCACACATCCACAAACGTATTTACCCATGAAAGTTTCAATAAAATCTAAAATACATTTTAAGAAAAAAAATTTATTATGAAACAAATAAAATGAATCTAATAAATAATGAACAAAACCTATAGAATACTTACCTATTGTCTGATTGGTAACACTATGATTCCATTTTCCTTCACCAAATATTCGATTTGCTAATAATATTAAATTATTATTCAGAGTTAGTGCTTCCTTCAGATCAAATCTCTGAGAATATATCGTACTTGTCATATTTTGTTTTGAATTTGTAGATGGCTAAAGCAAATTAACCTGATATGTAATTTATATTTCTCATACTTAATTTCTATAATTGGGACCTATACAATCAGTATTATTTATAGTGTACTTACAATTTTTATACAAGATGGATAATTAACTGCATTATCCATGATTGTATTACTTAACCGTTATACAAATTTTAAATTTTACGATATATGATACTTTACGGGATATCGAACTTCTTCATATTTTCGATCATCGATATATATATCGAATATATATCAATTATTGGTAACAATTTTTAAATTTATATATTGCAAAGCATCATTCTTTTGCAATCCAAAAATAAGGAATGACAACAGGTTTAGATGAAGCGTTTTATGATAGGCAGGTAATTATAACATGACTTTATGAATATTTCGTTTATTGCATAGTACTTCACGTGTACTGTTCTCCATCTTACGTTTATGTTGATTTAAATTCGTTATTTGATTTATATACATGCATTGAGACTCATTTATTTTCAATACAACAATTTATAAATCAAGACAAAAATTATGTATGTTGTTATATTATGCGTGTGTAGTGATAATATATATTGCATAGAAATAATGTTTGACACGATTTTGGCGAATAGATTGACTAAATTATGCCTTGTGACTCACACAATTAATTGCAACTGATACTCACCACACTCTTGCTATCTTTTGATTAAAATCACCATCGAGCCTCTATATTTTAATTTTGGACTTTGCTTTCTTTCACTTGTAGATAAGAATATGTGCTTTATTAAAAAGTAGCATGTTTTTATACATTTGTGATTGTGTATTAACAATTTAACTTAATAATTTATTAATATAAAATCTGTTGAAAACATACAAATTATGAAATATTTGTAAACATAATTTACACAGAATACTTTCTTAAATTCTTTTTACTATTCATATTTTTTTAAATTATACAAACATTTGTGAATAACAATTTTCCTGTCTGTAATTTTGTATGATTGAAAAATTTATATTATCAATACTTATAATATTTTAAATTAAAATCTATAAGAAAGATGTTGCTACTTCTTAATATACACAGGTCTTTCTTCGTCCTAATATTATATTTCTTAATAATCTTATCTAGAAGAACGTCTGTCTCACATTTAATTATTTAATACAATAATCATAAAGTATATATAATAAGTAAAACTTCTTAAACCCGAGGCGATATTTCTATACATATACACTGATCATTTTTAGTAGGTTGAGATACCTAAATAACAGTTTTACTTTTAACAGACACACAGTCACACTTAGTGTCATTGAGCTGATCTTATTACATCTAATTGGTTTTCAATCTATTTCGTTACAATTATAACATTAACAGAATATATCGGCGAGATGTGTTTCACTATGATATGGGCTACATACATAAACACAGGTAGCTGTTTAAAAAATTCTATGAACGTGCTAGAAACACTGCTTGTATATATCGCATAAGTGACATAAAAGGAGAAACGTGTATTCATGTACAAAAAAAACGACTTATATATTTATATATTTAAACGTCATCGTTTGAGCTATTATTGGGATTAAATATAAGTATTGCTATTCCTAAATGTATAAGGTATCGAGGAAGAATTTTCGATTGCTTAGGAAAATGAATGTAATTACTATAAATATCAATAAACTTGACAATTTCTGAAACGATTTTTTGGCAGTATAGAATATTGCATGTGTATAAACAAAACGGTATTATAAATAACTAAACAAATTCACAAGTGACCATGTAAAAATTTTTGAGAATACAATATTATTAATAATGATTCATAAAATTATTTCTATTGTATACTTTGAATATTCGTGTGTTATATACATGTGATTCTAATAATGCAACAATATATCTAACTAAAAATTATACTCCAAAAAATATATCCTTAAAGAATAAATAGCGAAACAATAACAAGTTAAAGATCTTATATGTAGATAAAAATATTCTCTCTATATATATATTTATATAAATTTAAACATAGTTGCATCGTGACTTTACATAGAATCATAAATAGCACGATGTTACATGTTATCGTATGTAAATGAAAAGGAAAACATTATAAAATAGGGTTTTATTGTACCTTATCAAACTACCCGAAATTTGATGCTTAAACGCTTATTTGGCAACAATTATAGTTTACCTAAATATTTCTCCCTTTATGCCTCGGAGCAAATCTAAATGTTGCACACGTGTAATAGTAGTTGAATGACAAGATGCACAAATTTGTAAAGAAATAGAGACAGTACAAAAAATAAACATAATCACAGCTGAGTTGGCAGGCAGGTGGGCAAATGCAGGCATATTATTGGACAGGCTCGCTCGACATGCGCTTCATCGCTTTTTTATACATGATTTTGTGTTACTTGGTCGACAATATATTTCAACAGCCTGCTAAGCCCGTTTCATTGACAGATTCATTCTTAAACGTAATCATTAGTTCCAGGACTTGTTAAAGGTTCCTGAGCCTATTGAAATTAAATATAAAAAAATTATATAAAATATATATATATATATATGTTGATGTTTGATATATTAATAAAACTATATAAACATCATTTATGATTGTGTTTAACGAAATGCTGCATTACACACAGTAATTACCTCTTCTCCAACTGTAGCAGTAGGGAGTGGAAACCTATTCTTCTCAAGACTGAATTGATCTTCTGTGGTTTTCCTATATACTGGATTATCAAAGTTCATACTTGTTACATTACGATGAAGATAATGCCTATAGCATAATACTGCTACTAATGCAAGGAGTAACAGCCCCAAGGATGCCACACCTATCACTATACCAGCAACTAAACCAGGGTCTGTTGATTCAGATGTCAAACCATCTTTTCCATCTTCATCTGCTGAATGTGTTGGATCTAAAACACATTATTTGATAAGATAAAAGAAGCAAATGCATGAACAGATAAATAATTAAAAATCTACAACCATAGAAAGCTTATTGTTATATAAAGCCATTTTTAATAGTTTGAAAAATTTACATGCATTTTGCATAGCAGTTTGCATATTGTTATTAATATAAGACTATACACTATATTATAAGCCAAAGCAAACGTTTCTGTGGAAATAATTATAAAGATTTAATTAAATAAAATAGAATTCGTGCAAATGTACTTACGGACAGTTGTAGTAGTAATGTTGACAGGTTCAAGTCTCTTGAATGGTTTACTAATTTCTTGCGTTGTAGGTGCTACAGTTGTACTTACTGGACATCCCATATTCATGCAACACCGATGCAAAATAATTATAATAAGTAATAAAATAATAAACTTAAGGCAGAAACACGATAATTGTATAATTATAAAATAAAATAAATAAATTCATTAATACAACTCGATGACGAAATAGCAGTATGAACTAAAAATAAAATTTTTAACATGCTCCATTAAAAAATTTTGTTTATATTTAAATTGTAAGCATTAAGTTTTTCCAATATAGCATGCAATACCCTAATTTTGACTTTATTCTTTCGATTACAGTCAATACATGCATATTAAACCAATGCACGTAATTCATTAAAGAATAATCAGTGTCATCAGTATAGCTCACCTTTCTCTACACACATTAAACCATCAGGTAACAATCTTAGGCCATCCGGACAAGCGCAACTAAGAAGAGGTGATTTGGAATTAATTCTTGGTGCTGGTAAGCATAAATGACTACAATGACCATTTACAGCTTGACACTGATTCATTCCATCTGGCTGTCTGTATGGGTGATATACATGAACGACCATTGGATATTTCAAAGTTCGAAGCGACGTAACAGCTTCAACTGATTGACCATTAAATTTATTTGCTTTAAATATTGCCTCCTTATCCCAGTCAGTCCAATATACGTAATCTTCAAATGTTGTAATACTGAAGGGATGCCTCAATACTTTTGGAGAAAACAGAACTCTTCGTACACCCGAACCATCGTAATTGCATGACCCAATCATATTCAATTTCGCGTCTACCCAGTATACTTTCTTGCCGATTAAGTCCAAAGTCAGTCCATTTGGCCACTGTACGCCATTATCGACTATTACCTGCAAATAAGTCCGACTTTTTACAGATTTTACCCTTATATCAGCAATTTATAACAAAAATATTTTAATTAGCTTTCAAAAATTATTTAAGAAGAAGATGAACTTTCTCACTAGGAAGGAACTTCCAAAATTGCTATTCTGATGAATCTGAAAAAGAATTTATATATATATATATATTTTGAATCGTATATCTTTCATTAAAATACTTTATAATCATTCGACTACAGCATGTTATAAAAATCTAGAAATCATCGAAAAGGAATTCCTTTTTGTGAAAACATTCACGGAAGATAATCTCAATGATAGGTTCATTCTTTCTCCGATCTTATTTATAAATCTACCGTTCGATGAGATCCGTCCATGCCCGCTTTCTCGATATGAGCTTCATCGCTCCAATCAGTCCAAAACATCCAACCTTCCAATGGATTCAAAGCTATTGCTCTAGGTTCTTGCATGCGATCTTGAATCAAGGTCTTTCTCATATTACCCTCGAAATTAGCCAATTCTATGGTACTCTTCTTGGAATCGGTCCAATAAATATGATTGTATATCCAATCAACAGCAAGACCATCTGATCTTGTCAAACCATCATTAATTACGACGGTACGTTCATTTCCTTCATCTATTGGAGCTCTAAACAGCAAAAAATAACAAATATACAAACAAAATAAATAAACGAAAAGTATTGAGCAATCGTGAAAATTGTTAATCGCTTACTTATAGATCTTCTTTTCGCTACTGTCGCTCCAGAAGATCATGCCCGTACGGAAAACAAAATCCAAGGCTGCCGCCATTTTCGTGTCTTTTACTATATTTGTCATTTCCAAACGATCTAATGCTACTTTTCTTATATCGTGCCTACTAGTAAAAAGCAGACTGGCATGACCTTCAGATGCCTTACAACGAGTATGATTCCTGCGATCTTTAAGGTAACCTGGGGCACAACTGCACTTGAAACTGCCCTTTTCATTCAAACAAAATTGGGAACAGCTACCTGGTTCTAAGCATTCGTCTATGTCTGAAACAAGAAATACAATTTTTCATATTTTTTTCTTCTAATACGAAGAGTATTATGTTTTTTAAAGCAACGGCACAGTAGTCTAGTATCATAACAATGTATTTATTATCTTTTCATGTACTTTTGAAAGGCATAACAAAAAGAGGATTGTGAAAGGGAAAGTTATTCATATTCAGGCATGAGCGAGTAAGGAGATGCGCGTATGTATGATGGGAGAGAAGAAATGCGAAGCACGAGCTTTCCTTTAGAGAGTCGTTTTAGTATTATAAGAATGGTTCAAGTGTCGGTAGAGTTACTTTTGCGTTGCGAATTATTTCCGCATTAAATTCATAATTATTCAAATCCTATTCTACATCAAACAGTTATTTATGGCGGAACTTTACAATAAAGTACCACATGAATAACATCCCTATGTAGAGTGGTAAGAAAAAAGATTCAGGACTTTAAAGCATTATAGTACTTGCTGAGAAGAATAAAGGATGTGTAACCAATATACAAATAATAAAAATTGATTTTACTTTAAAAACATCGTTGAATTTACGTTTGTAAGACAGTTTTTACTTTACTGGTGAGTATTATAAGTATTTAATACCACATTATCATATTATGTGCAATATTTACACATTTATCGCTATATATATTTATCACTTTGCATGAAAAGGACAAATGTAACCAGACTTCATATATATTAATAAAATAAATGAATATGTTGGAAGATGACTCGGCCAATACAATAATAACGCGAAATGTTTTAATAGGGAAAACTATGTGTATTTATCGAATGTATGTTTTAAACTGTAAAGGGTATTGAAGAGGTGCAGAGTAAATAATAACAGGAACAAAAGACTAAATATAATGTTAATAGCTGTTTGGCAGATTTCAGCAACAGACACTAGTCTAGTATGAGTCATTTGAATAATGTAGCAATAGCTAAAGACGTATAGAAATTAATAATAATGCAAAGTAATTATCATTAATCATTATATCAATATTAATATTAAAGTATCACGAGTATGTCTCACCATCACAAGTTCGATTATCAATCAGTCTGTATCCGGCATTACAGTCGCATCGGAAGCCGATTGGCAAGTCGATACAGATTTGCGAACATCCTCCGTTGTTCTTCGCGCATTCGTCCACACCACAAAGCTCGGTATTTTCGTCTTCCCAACCGATACAATCAGGATTCTTATTGCACACGCTGGACAGAGGAATACACGAACCCTCGCTACATTCGAATTGTGTCAACGGATCGCAAATGATGGGTTTGCTCGTACAATTCTTCTCGTCGCTACCATCTGCGCATTCTGCTTTGCCATTGCAGTACAGATGACCTAAAAAAATATTCAATATATTTAAATTAGATGACTATAAACATACACATATACATACAAAAATAAGTATTTAGCAATATATTAGAAATATTTAGTACAATAAAAAAAGAAATTATTACATAGTGTATAGTGTACATTTTATTTATCATAATTAATGATTGAAATGCACTCTATGGACGAACGAAATATTTGAGAACAACAACGAAGTAAGGAGCCTTTTTAAAAATTTTCTTTTGAAAATTTAGTATAACGGGTAGTCTCCTTACGCATGCAGGTACACATTATACACCGTAAAGTATAGTATTCATCGTGTTACAAAGGAAGTTGGATAAGTCTATCTAATTAAGTTACCTGATATGCAATTACGATAATCCTCGCACAGGAATTGATCAGGTCTGCATGTAACATTGTGACATCGTTTGGGCGACTCGTCGACACCGTTACGACAATCTTTTTCACCATCGCACACCCAGCTTTCGTGTATGCACGTTCCAAAACCGTCGTCGCAATCGAAATCTTTGTCCTTGTTGCAAGGGCTCGAACGTTCACCGTTCGCATACTAAAAAGATTTCATAAATCTTTAGTTCACACTGTTCCTTCCAGTTTCACGCGTTGTTCTTGATTTTCTTAATTTTAGCAAACTCCTTGAGTTTCTGCATATCGATGCAAGAAATCCAACTATGGAAATTAACTGAGATGCGAAAACTTCGTGGAAGTTACCGGAGCGTTCAATTACAAGACATTAATATCAATACAGTTTTTTCAGTTTGAATAACATATAGGAAGTGGAAGACCAAAGGTTTCAACATACATGTCTCTCGAAAACGTAACTTCGACTAGAAAAGTGGTAAAAGGATTCCTAACTTCTTTCATCGCGTAGAATTACCATAATTCGAGTTCTTTCGCAATCGATTAGGTAACAACATATTAGGATGGAACATTCCTTTTCTTAAATGTAGAAAATAAGATTATTTGTGATTTATTTAAGTGTTAATTAATAGTAATTTTAGGAATAACGTAAGATATTCAGGATACATGTTCAACTTGAAAGGGATTAAAGCGAAAGATCTGAATCGTGACAAGAAGAGGAAAGATAGTGTTAGGCATTAGAATAAAACGTTACATCCACGTTTTCCTACCTTACATCCAATTTCGTCGGACTTATCAGGACAATCGACATCACCGTCGCATCTCCAAAGAGACGTTATGCAACTATTCTCCGAGCAGGCGAACTCCGTTGGGCCACAGGTAACTGACTTGCAATTCTTTTCGTCGCTACCATCTCCGCAATCGTCGTCCCCGTCACAAACAAACAATTTTTGGATGCAGTACTTGTTTGTGCACGTGAACTCGTCGGATCGACAGGTGATGTCTGGAGGAGACGTGTTTTATAAGCAGCAGAATACATAGATACACGATAAAAACGATCTACGGACAGGAAGAGTAGCGATAGCTTGCTATCAATAATTCTATCGACTAACGACCTAAGAACATATAGCAATCGAAAGAAGCATTTTTAACTCATCACATAAAACATTCTGAATTTTGAGATGAATTCAGTGTATATGGAATTAAATTCCACAAAAAATTCAACAACGTTTAAAAATATCCGAACTTTTTGCAGCTCGACGAGGTCTTCTATATTAAGGAATTTAATTACGTAATTGAACTAGGAGCCTTGAGTTTTTACGATGGTTCGGCAAAAAAACGAAAAAAGAACTAATGACATAATTAAGAAACATTTCACTGAGAAATCCAACGTAAGTCTTGGTTCTTTCATTCGTATTTAATATGGCGTCTATTTACTCCGATTTGCAAATGTCTTAGATAATTATATATGTTTTGACAAAAAGGTAGTAAGACTTTTACACACAATGTGTATTATGATAATTTAAATGTAATATTTAAACATGACGTGCTATGTAAATAACAAGAATAAAGGAAATGCTACCCAAATGCATGGAAATTTACGCAGAGTCTCTATCGAAATATCCACGATACAAACACTGAAACAGAGGCTAAGAAAAACACGCGTGAACATCGATTTCTCGTTCGTGTACAATTGGTCGAGCAATGTCTAAACTCGAGTCGTAACATCATCGTAGAAATCGGTGACGTAAATTACTCAAATTAAATCTTTGCTTTAAAAGTTCGTATCGGTACGTTTGTACGAAACGGTCCTCCTGCTGCTTGGGACACTACAACGTTTAAATTATACAAGGAACTATTTGCACTTTCGAGAGAACGTAGAGGAAGGAATAAGTTTCTTAGCATAGTCGCGTAATTAAACGAGGTAATTAACCGGTCCTTGATCAACGACAAGTGCATACCGCTACAACGACGTTGCTTAACATTAAGTGTACGACATAACAGCAGGAAGCTAGCAGCTTGTTTGCCTACGAGGCTGCGAATCAGAGGTTGAACCGTTCGTTGTTATACGAATTTCGATGAAATGGCACGAACGAAAAACCGACTGTCCTGCGCGACCAATACTCACGTAACCCCAATCATTCTAGCTGAAACCAAAAATATAAAATTGTCTACGATGACACGTGTGAATTAAATAAAATTTCATCACTTTCAATCCTTTGCGGTTCTTCTGTTTCTTTTTCTCTTTTTTTTTCATATTTTTCTTTTCTCTTCCTTTTTTTTTTTTGTTTTTTGGTTCGCAGTACGTTACAGGGTGACACAAGAATTACGTGATCAGAATTTCTAAAGCAGAGAGAAGATGCACTACGAATCATATATGAAGGGTAAGAGGAAAAAGCAGAGAACGATTTGTTTCTTTATTAAGCTTGTAGTATTTCTTGTTTTTCCCTCTAAACCTTAGAATATTTATAAATTAATCATTAAAAAATTATCATATTTAACATTTTGAATTTTGCTATATAAACATTTTTATCTAGTGTTTCTTCAGTAAATTCTCTCAAGTGTTAGCTACCTTAGGAATGCATTTATTTTTCGTGTCACTCCGCGATTCATTGATCTTTAGAAACGAGACATGGCGAGAGATCGTACAATTGTTGAACAGCAAAGGGTTGATAATAATTCTGTAAGCCATAGAAGAAGTAAAGGAAGAAACAACAGAGAATTAAGTACGGAAACATTATCATTAACACGACGCCGAGATGTATATGAATCATCGTGACGAAAAAATTGGTCGGATCGCTCGACGAAAAATTCGGAAAACGTGACACGAAGCTTGTAGAGCCTGGTCGTCTAAGCTTTTCCAGGAAAACCAAGCGTTTCTCGCAAAGGAAAAAGAGTTACGCTGACAAATTTGCCCGGCTATGATTCGAGGTTAGTCTACGCGGAAGCAAGTTACATATTTACATGGAAAACACGCATCCACGATGATATCTCGGGTTAGTTTTAAAATTGGACAAATCTCTGCATACGAGATCTCTCGAATGATAAAACGTGAAAGATGGGAAGAAGATATACAGGGAAGAATAAATGGAAATGATATGCGTAGGAAATAAAATATGGTAAAGCAAAAGGAGGTAAAATCTGAACGGTAGGAGAGTCGTAAAGAAAGAAGCGTTCATTTATGATCCGGCAATCGTGTGGTTACGCAAGGTAGACTAATTAGGAGAGAATGAAAACGATTCTCGTAATCGTAACAATTACATTTAGAGCGTAATAAAAAGGACGACGAGGGTGCCGCAATATCCGGGACGATGTGGAATTTGCGTACGTGCAACAATTATTAATTAGAAGGAAGCATGCAGCATGCAACGATTACGAAGCACACGGTGTTCTGTATTAATCCTTAAAATACGAAGCTAGGTAGCCAGCTTCCGGTTATTTCGCTTCTGTTTTACGGCGTGGACTCCGGCGAGTCTAACTTTTAATATCCACCCTAATAAGCGCGCCGTATGAGCACCACCCAACACAATATTAACAGCTCATCACGGTCTCTTTGCTCGATAATTTTATTCAGCGGTTGATACTTCAAAGTGAAGAATAAAAAAAAGAAAAAAAAAAAGATAATGATAATAAAAGCAAAAGTTGATTTGAACGTTAGAAAATAAAGTTTCGAATTCACTGCAATTATAACGAAGCCAAAAATTAAGAAAAAGACAGACGAGACGAATTCTTTAAACCTTTAGTAAAAAAGTTTGTTTGAACTTGTAGATAATTTATGCAATTCACCTACCGATTATAGTTGCGAAACAAAACGCGATTATTATTCAAATTTATACTGCCGTCAAATATTTATTACAGACATTTTTATTTTGCTTGTTAATTGGTGTTGGCAAAAAGTCTCCTCGTGCTGGTGACGATATGCTGGTTCAATGAAATGTAAAAATAACTGAACCAATGCCTACATATTTTTTCCCTCTTTTTTTCCTTCTCTGCGATGTATTTATTTCATCTGAATTTTTATTTCACACGTGCGCATTCTCTACGATGCATTGTTATTACAAATATTAACGTTCATTAATACGAATCTAATGCAACGATGAAAGCTAGAATACACATTTTGATAATATTATACTTTAATAACATTCGTTTGTTTTTTCTTTTTCCTTGCTTTCTTTTTAATACAATTAAAAACAGAACATAGGAAGGACAAAAGGAAAAACAGCAATTATTTCCTAATTTCCCATAAGCCATTCAGAAGGAAAAAGGAAAAGAAATAGAAAGAAATGCATGCTCACCATGAACCCCATTATATTTTAACCCTCGACTGGCAGGGTGAAGTACGTGTTACATAACCGGTGGAGCGAGATCAATTTGACCCCGATTAAACAAGTTGGTGAAGTGTGCGTTTTAACTAAAATATGTAACTGCACTTATGTTAATACCCATTTAACTTGTTACAAAACTTTGAACCGCGATAAACGATTAATTTAACTTTCTCGTGCTTTGTCCGTGGCTCAACAGCGAGGTAAGCTAAAAATGGAGAATTAATGTAGACATCTCACCGACGCGATGGTCGAGCCATGCTACACGTTAAAATCAATATGAGGGGGTTGTTTTAACTTCGTCCTATCAGTCGAGGGTTAAGGGCTTAACACATTGATCGCCAATATCCTGCTTAATTTAAGATTATCCTGCATACGGTGAATGGTATACCGTAGGATTATGTCTCTCCGATCGTGTATGCACTACTTATAAACTACGGCTTATGCTGGAGTATGCTATGGTTTCCGCTGATTGCATGATCCACCGTGAGATTACGGCATAATTCGTGATGCGGTTGATCGTGGTAAAACTCTTTCAAAGAGTATCCTCTGCTTTGTTAAAAAATAAAAAATCGAACGTATCTATTCCCCAGTTCGATCTACTTCTTTTATTCAAACTCGACGTGGCTTGGGAACTTGCAGGGGATATTTTATTTATCGGAACGTGCTTTGAGTAGATCTTTCGAAAGTTCACGCGTTCCATCGAAAAACTGACAAATTCGTTTGCTACTGATTTATGCAAAATCGGCCTCGTCGAGTTCGGTTCCGCTGAAAATCATTCAATAATTCATTGTTTAGCGAAGCAAATATAGCATTAGCACATTGAAAATGCACGATGTTAAAGTTGTGTATAGATTCCAGTGTACATGCATATAGGAACACAATTGCGTTCCAGTATTGTAAGAAACGACGTACGAAACGACATACGAATCGCTGTTAAATGTTAAACAGATGTTCAAGTGTAACATCTTCGAGAGGAAAAGCTTAGCATACTTTCAGATCGAGGATGTAATCATTTATTTATTTCTTTGCTTTCTTTTCTTCTACTTTTTTATGAATTATGTCGTTTCTCATAGGTTATACGATCTTGAGGATACTCCATCAGCAGTGGGAAAAAGTTCAAAGGGTAAACGTATTCCAGGTGGAAACAATATAGCACGATCGTAAGTCAAACTCTCAATGTGCCGTTTCAAACGTTTCAACGCGAATTGAAATAAAATTGAAATTGCCTCGATAGTTGGCACGATCATCTCTGAGCATTCTGTACGTTTCATATAGACTTGTACATTCACTTTCGCGTGGTTATGCAGCAAATGCAATTGAAAGAATATTACTTGCTTTAATTACATAAAATGCGTTCATATACTAAAAATGACAAAGGGAATATTTTTTGTTAAAGGAACACCATACCGCATTTCGCTTTATTCTCTAGTGGTAAAACTTTAAGTAACTATTGTTGAAACTTAAAGCAACATCAAACCTTCCTACTTAGTAGTATGAAACTTCTTATTTGAAAGTTCGCTGCAATTTCGCAAGAGCACCTTATGTATGGCGAATTTCTCGTTAACAGACAATCAAATCTCTAGTCTCTAAACCTTTATGACTTCACAGATAAATATATTTTAATGCAAGAATAGTTACGTAATGTCATTAGTTATTAACTTACTTGCACATTTGTATGATTTGACGATTCAACTAATCTGCGTTCTAATAATTTATAATATTTCAGTCCCATTTAAATGCAACATTTACAAGCATTCCTATTAAAGAATAAAGCAAAATCCGACATGCGTCTATTAAATAAGAAGTTCTCTCGAATGCTCTGCGCGTTCCTTCCAAGCAATATACCTCGACAAACAATATAGATCAAAAGGAAATTCGAATTTTGAAATAGCATTTAAATTGGCGATCAACGTGCTGTGGAAATAAGGAAAGCAAATGTTACGTGAATAAGCGTAAGTGTAAAATAGTCCCCGTGCAGGATCTTACTGCACTCAGCCTCGTCTGAACCATCCGAACAGTCTCCATGGCTGTCGCACATCCACGCGAGTGCCACGCACTCGCCGTTCCCCGAGTGACACGTGAACTGATCCGTCGTGCAATTCTTCAGACCTACAAGATGACAATCGATTGAACCCCGATTTTCATTCGTGACAAGGTGCCAGCCGCACACGGCCAGAGACCCCGTTCTCTCTCTCTCTCTTTCTCTCCCTTGTACACGTACACAATGCCATTCGAAGCGTTCTATTTTCGTCGAGAGTGCGGAGAGCTGTCTCGAGAACCCGCGAATTGCATCTCCAGGGTCAATTGCATCTGCGAAAAATTTTGTACCCGACCAGGACACGTCGCGCTTATCGACTATCCGTGAAATGTAATCGCGCGTCGAGAAAATTTTTCTTTTATTTTCCTTTTCTTTTCTCTTCCTCCCTTTTTTCTTTTCTATTATTCTTCCACTTCCGTGATCAACAAATATATACCCCACGCGGTGCTGGATTTAAGCTTGAGTCTTATTGTTAGACGTCCATGGTCGGTGCCTCGATGGTCGATGGTTTATTTCAACGGTAAGGTCGTTTTATTTTCGTAGTATCGGAGTAAAGAGTGGAGAAATTAATAGAACACGCGAAATTACTATACTACATTCTAGAAGACAATATAGTTACCATAGGAATTACTGTACTATGCGCGTAGTAGAAGAGTGTAGGAAGCAATAAAAGGATATGAATAATCCAAGAAATACGTGGGAATCGAGGTTCTTCAAACATCAGCCGAGTGAATAGTCCGATCAATGTAGTGAATAGTCCGTTGCTTTTCTATTCTATATTACCACCCGTTTTATAAGTCCGTAAATTTTGTAAAGATGAATGCACGTTTCTTAAAGAACGTTGGTCTACAGCTTCGGGCAATGTTTTCCTTATGTAACTGTTTGCAAACTGTGAAAGCTATAAAATTATCACTGAATGATACGCGTGGCTAGCACGTAATGCATTAAAGTTTACTACATGATCTACGATGTGGATCTGCGAAAGTTAGAACCGAAGTGTTCTAACTTATTTCAATAAGCTTAGCTTCTAATTTTGTATCTGTTTAGAATCAACAAGGCGAACACTCAAGTTAACAGTAATATAACGCGTGGCTGCGAATATAAATGAACAAGCATGGTGCTTCTCGCGGGATATTAAAAAGCTGTCACGTGAAATATTAAGAACATATAGGAAGAATTAAAATGAATAAAAATAATTAAATAATTAAAAGCCACTTGTTCTTAACACGCTCTATACAATTTATTTAAAAAGTCCCTTAAAAAACGAAGTACATCAACAATTTATATAGGAATTAAAGTGATAAAGAAATGATGGTTATTGAAAAATAACCATACTTATTTACCATTACCATTATAACCACTACTTCGCCAGAAAATATACTTCAAATAATTGCTACTCAGAAAAACATAATATTCGATTAAATAATACCCGGTATAATTAAGAAGCGAATAATCTTTAGATCCAATAATTATTAATCATCTTTTATCTACTTCAATATCTTCCTTCATGGTTTATTCGTAATATCCAATCTCGTCTGTCGCCTGTGTTCCATAGTTTCTCCTCCCTTCTTTCTCTCTTTCCTTTCATTTTTTCACTCTGCTTCTCCTTGGCTTGTTCCAACCATCAACCTATGACTTAGGTATTCAAATAACTTACTGTTACAATTTTCCTCGTCCAACCCATCCTTACAGTCGAATTGAAGATCACACAGCCAGCTTTTCGGTATGCACTCTCCAGGGCTGCACTCGAATTCCGTTTCGCTACACGGTTTTGACCCTTTCAATCGCAATCATTTTATCATTTCTCATCCTGCACCCATCCTCGCGCGTGTCGTATTCACTACGCGCGAGTAGAAGCGAGCCCAGGCCCGCGATTTATTATTTGCCGGACGCGATATCAAATCGGGACTCGAGCAACCCTGTTTCTCGCGTGTTACAAGTTTTTGGGAAGAGTAAAGCTTGTTTGTTACTTCTTCTCTTTTTATCGAGTTAAACAGCCGGACTCGACACCTTGTCGTTCATATCTTTGTCGACCTAACAGAGAGAACATGATCGGTTATTTTATTTTTAAATAAAAATATCGTACGATCGTGTTTTTAACATTGCGTGGAAGATTTAAGCGGAGAGAGAAAAAAATTCTTACCATTAAATGTCCAAACATAATTCTTTGTCACGTATAAAAATGTTAAAAGTTTAATCGCGTGAAATAAATTTGAAGACATGAAACGGAACGTTAACCAACATCGCGGTCCTGGTAATAAATGTGCTCTAGTCGCTAGACGAATAACTGGAAATACCAATGTCGAAAGTCTTGAAGTGGAGAAGTGGAGGAGTGCAAGGAGTCTAAAGTATAGATGTACTATCTCAAGCTACCTGTGTACATTGCTTACTTCAACGGCTAGAGTAAATAAATCGCTGGTAAAAGCACATCAATTGCTGCCCGTGTGAGACATGGGCTTGGGCGTTAAGGGGTTAAACGTTTTTGTTAAATTATCTTTGCAGTAGCCGTAACGGTGTTTGTAGCACACCTTGGACAAGTAAAGTATCGCAACCAGAAGTAGCGTGTAACAATATCGGGTTGCCACATTTTTCTTTAGTATGTTAAATAAATTACATTAAGAACGCTTTAACATTTAAGCTACATGCGAGAGGTTCAATTTTCAGCAACGATTTAGCAATAGATCTTTTTGTTGGATAATTTTATGTGTGACAATATTGGTAAATTTGTGACACTTACGTATCCATTTCGTAATATTTTTTATTAAATTTTATCATTGGATTCGTCTCATTATTTTTTATTAATATGTAGAAGAAATATACCTTGTGTCACTTTTAAAAATATAAATATATAATTTTACAATAGTGAAATTAAAATATTTCTTGAATTTCATATCTTTTTATAGAGAGTAACGAGCTGCATCGATTGATGTATTTTAAAAAATATACGGTTTCGTTAAAAAAAATATAAGTGACCTTTACCTAACTTTATTGCCTTCACTTGACAACATCCTTCTTGCATTTTAAAATGTCTGCTTTCTATCAATTACCTCCTTCACTCTCGTGTACCTTCCTACTTGTCTACTCCGTATACCTTTCGCAATAATTTATGTTCTTCTTTGAGGGATTAAAATCCGACATTCTATAAATATATATATACATTAAACAAACATATTTATATAACGTTCCCATGTGAGGTACCTTTCATATATACTAACATTTTATAAATTTTTTATTAAGTACTTTGATACGCAGAGGGAACGAGAAAGTTGCACTGATCGTTGCTCTAAAATTAACACCCCGACTGCAAAGTTAACCAACTCGTAATATCCCCTATCTAACGGTTTGCTAGAATTTAATCAGTTCTCCAAGCGTCGGTTAAACAGAGCTGATTTTCTTTCATGTAACCTTCACGTATACATCTTTAAAGCTTTTCGAGTCGTTACACCCTCCTCCCTCCTTTTGTTTCGTACCGGTTTTACGTTGCAGAAACAGGCTACGGCCGTTGAGAAAGGAACATATATATATTTACCAGGCGAAAAGTTTAGACGAGTTCCTTCCTTCACCACCACGAGACGTATTAACCGAAGATTTCGAAAGGACCACGAGCAAACGCGATAAAAACGTAATCGCCATTTATTATTTTCATTCGACGTTAAAAATTTCTCCTCTGGAAATTACGTGCACGCTAACGAACGCAGTTGCACGGGGCCCCTTTATTATCGTCGCGAACTTGTTCACGATGGGAAGCAATTTTTCACGTCGCTAGTTACCGCGTTATATCTCTCCTACTGTTGCAAAATCGATACAGTTTCGCGTACAATTTCAAAGCGAGAATAACGCCACGTCGTTAGCAGATTACAAGCGATTCCGAACGCTGTCGGCTTGATATGTTTGCCTGGTGCGTGCAAGGGAGTCCGAATATTCGTTAGCCTTTAACTTGTGGCGCTGCATTGACGCAAAATTGTTTGCAATTTTATTTACCGATAGTATAACGAAATATTAATCGAGCGTAAGTAAGTTTCACACGGATCATGGAGGATTGTTAATCTATCAAAGCAAATATTAGAGAAGTTTATTTATCGATCATTTAAAATCTACCCCCCTCGCCCCTACCCGAGATATAAATCGTGACCCCCAGTTAATTTACCGATAGCCCAAGCGTAGTCTATTATGGAGGCTGCATCAATGGGATCGGTACTGATAATTGATTCTTTAGTTGGATAAACGTTCATGGTAACTGATGCGAACGACAGTGCAGTGTTGGGTAATATCGAGTCGGATACGTTTTCTTTATTGTTCATCTCGAAGCCGCAAGATTCTTTTTTTATCTACACGTTCACTGTGCAGTCTGATAATTCATACTGCACTACCGTTGATCTTCGATACTGCTGATAGTAGTTATGCAGACACCCCAGATTACTTTGAATTGATATAGCCAGGACTTTCTGGTCTGTATGGCATTCGAGATCAACACATAACAGGCGCGAACGATATAACAGCTCGGAGGGAATTCCAAATCCAGGTATTATACATTTATAAATCGATTAAGTTGCAAATAATAAATTGTCTATAATATTTTTAAAATCTCCTCTCCGAATCGTATATAACATTTTTTAATTATTCTAGGAGAAAGGGGACAGCTGGAATATACCTTCATAATTAATAATCGGGGTAAAAAAGCTTTCGCTGTACTCCGAAATCATCACAGTGTGTCAACTAATATAATAATCCCTTACAATTCATCTCGTTAAATAACATAACGAGGCTCCCTTTTTCAATGACCTGTGTACGTTTCGAGCGTGCAATCGCGATCCGATTTTTGCCGATATTTTCATGATTAAGGAACACCATGTGGAAGCCAGTATTTTCACGCAAACATTTTACACGCGCCGCTAATCCCGTATATTCTCAATTAATAGCCTCATACGCAAATAACTGGAGCGACGTGGCCGATCCTTTCCTTTTTATTTTCGTTACTTCCTGTCTTTATTTATTTTTACCCTTTTTTTTTTTTATTTTCTCGCAAGCTATCATACGTATCGTCCCACTTCCTCTTTCTGCTC